AAAACCCCCTAAAAAAAAAAAAAAAAAAGGACCCCCATTATAACAATAAAAAAAAAAAAAAAAAAAAAAAAAAGATGACCCCCATGTAAATAGGAATATAGAAAAACAAGAAACAAATATTAAAGAGGAAAAAAAAAGGCAATGAAATGAAGAGATCAGCCCAAGAAGATTCTCTTTCAGTAGAATGCATCTTTCTTACCTTCTAGGTGCTAAAAACAAACGAATACACCTCTCAATAAGTTAAGAAATCTTTGCTCCATTGCTTTGTTTTCTAAACAAAAACCTGCAGCTAATTCAGTATGGTTATGGAGAGAGGAGGCTTATGGAAGGCGTGCATATTCTCCCTATACCACACACACACAAAAAAAGAGGATAGTCCTTCATTATTCATCAAGAGCCACGCCTCTTGCACTTGCCGCGTCCACGTTTCCCCGCTCTTGTTTTCCCATTAGCTTTCTTCTCCTCTTTGGCTTGGTCATCCCTGAACCAGACCGAAAAAGCCATTGCTTATAACGTGACAATCTCAAATAACTCAGCACTAGACAGATACATGTATTGCTGAATCCTTTCCTAATCACTTGTGCTAAAACATTATGTTTGCTTTCTTCAAACGTAGACCTAAGCCTTTCGGAGAATTGGCAAGTTATATAACATGAAATAGAACCCCATAAGAGTATTTGCTAATGGGAGAAACTGCAACTCACTCCTCTGAATTTAGATACAAGTCTTTAAGAGCCTGGTTGACTGCGTGGATGACCATTTTCTTCACCTGTTGAAGAAAACACAAGGAGGCATAGATAAGGAAACAGCATTTACTCCAACAACACCAGTAACGGTGAAGAAAATAAAGCACCTCTAACTTGTCCTCTTTGGTGGGGTGGTTTGGTGGAAGTAAGCGAAACTCCTTTGTCAAACGGAAACATTCGCCTACGTTTTCGGGTGAGACAAAGTCGACTGCCACCTTTGTGCATGACTGCAAGAGGTAGAAGATAACCAAACAGAGAAACACATGAATCGCCAAAAACCAGAGATGAAAAGCTTCCAAGAAACTAATACCCGATTGCTTATATGACCAAGCAAAGAAAGAGTAGTCGGGCTTTGATTCTGTTTCTCATGTCTACTACTTAAGAAGTCAAATGGATAATGTTCCACCAAATCACCAGACACAGACCAACAACACCAACTAGCACAATTTGACATCCTTGTGTTTCAGAAAGTTTACCTTCAGATTTCTCACTTGATGGGGGCAACCAGCCGGAATCAAAACAGCATCTCCAAGCTTCTGAACAAATGTCCATGGTTCAATGCCTGCACAATAAACAAGAAACGTCTACAAATAATGCCTAAGACAAACTGAGGTTAAAAAGTAGAACATAGGAGGAACATAAGTTTAACATACCGTATTCTTCTTTGAGCTTCCTCTTATGCTCCCACGTCAAATAGAAAGTCTGGTCATGAATTGGGTGAACAACCTAGAAGAACCGAATGAATCAGTAAAAGACGAAAAGAAATGCGAAGTTACAGAAACAATGGAGGCAAAGAGGATACCTGAGGCAAAGGGCAACAATGGATATGTCTGAACTCTCTGTAATGTTTCTCGAGGTATTTCTCCAACTTTGGAACATCTTCTCTCCGGAAAATATCCCAAAGAGCACCTCCTTCAGATTCGAGCTTTTCAACTTCTTGACCGTTCTTCTCAAGAAATTCGTCGATGTTGGCTTTCAAAGAGACAAGTTCTTTCTGATCTTGTTCAGCATGTTTTTGTTTCAGTTTTTCTATTTTCTCAAGATTTTCCTCTTTGATGGTAACTTCGCAAGTGTGCGTCAAAACATTCACCTGAAACAAAACAAAAAAAAACAGCAGTGAATATGGGTACTCATGCACTTACCATCCATGTCATATAAAAGGAAACGGCCTCTTTATGGCTTTTCTTTTCAAACTTTGTCTGGTAAACGCCCAGAATGTTCACATAAAGGCATCCTCATAGAAATGCACCAAGAAGCCTAGGCACATACTGCAGAGAATTGAGCGAAAATCGATATGAGTACCCTAAAATTTTAGGCTTACAAATTTATATTTTAAAACCCTTAGTGAAAATCGAATACATTTTAACATCACTACTACTATTGGAAGATCATATGTTTATATAGATGTTCAAACAGTTGTTATATAGGAGAAGAAAGTTCATGTATTTATTTGAAAGTTTTCTACAAACTGCATAAAAACTTGCAGCCCATAACAACCCAAAGAAATTTGAACCCATTAAAATCCATTTATGGGTAAAAAGTAAAAACCAAGACCCTTAGGGTTTTTCATCTTTTTTGCTTCTTTAGTCAGCTTCACCTTCACCTGTGTCATCTCCCTTTAAGAGCTTTTATAAAGGGATTTACTGATTCGAATTCGATCTTAAAAACTTCATTGTGTTGGCACTCGCATCTAGGAGGTGCACAACCTCATGCCTAGAGGTAACCCTAGGGCCAGTAACCCGGGGCCACCTTATAAACTTCACATCACCCTAGGTCTAGAGGCGTCGATCAGCTTGCCCGACACCTCTAGCACCTAGATGCATCTCAAGCGCGCTATTTAAAACCCAGGTTACTCACAATAAAGGCAAACATCTATGCTTTCACAAGTTCTAAAGACATTCATAATCAAGAATGCCAAAGTCAAGAATGCACTAAAACATTTGCTTGAACCAAAACAAAATAGTGAACCTAGGTACCCATGCAGTCATCATCCATGACGTACAAGCAAACTACCTTCTTCTAGTTTGAATTTCCAAACTTTGTCTAGAAAACACCCACAATGTTCACATAAAAGCAACTTTGCCCAAGGAGCTCACACAAGAAAATCGATATTGCTGATATCATATGATGTTGGATTCTCTAAATCTCTCATAAGAATGAAATCAAAAACACCGAAATGCAAGATCAGATCACTTATACTCTCCCCTGTTTTACGAACTTGAAACGGAGAGTAAACTTTCATTCATTCAACTTACATGCACACTTACAGTACATACAAACTACTCGATTTTCTCTTACTCGAAACCAAGTAGGATTGCAGAAAACAAATCGGCAATAACTTCAGCCATGGACACTTGCTCTTATAGAACAAACTTAGTAACCGACTAAAAACAGAGTTAAACTTCCACAAATAATCGTCATTGAACTGCTACGAAACTGCATCAAACTTTGTAACAATGTAGAACAAAACGTCATTAAACCTTGAGTCACACAGCAAACAATCCTCCATGGATCATGGTTTATCACATTTTACAGACTTCCAAAGCATCTCCTTCAATCCTTCAACAAATTTGCGGACGCTAGTAAACCAAATTCTGGGACATGATCCTTTCTACCCCCGGAACTTGACACAAACTCATTTTCACAAAGATCCATTCCACGATTGGCATTTGCATCATGGCTTGGATCTTTTGACATTGTTTTTTATCCTCGATGTTCCTTACTATAATTGTCTTCACAACTTCTTTCTCGAGTGCTTAACTACTCCTTCTTGAGTACACATTTGCCCTTCTCGAGTGCACAACTGCCTCTTCTCGAGTATACAATTGTTTTAGTTCTACCTGATCGAGGCACAACCCATACAACTTACAACAATCTTCCTTTTTCAGCTTCTTTTCCTAAGACTTCAACCCCCCGAACTTACACTACAACACCTCTTCCTTCATGGAGCATGACAAACTCCTCCTCCATAAACACTCACTTAACTCGGAATTCCGGTTCCTCTGCTCCTTCTCACTTGAGCTTCATTCGGGGCATTATCAAAAATACCCTTAAAATGCTATTTCTACTTCAAGACCTACCCTGGTCACATGTGACCAATGTGACCGAAATATAGTATGGTCACATTTTGATTTTTATCGATTATAACGTTAAATTTATGGTGATCACACTAATTCATTATGTTTATACCTTGTATATCTTACTAATCATTTGATTAAAACATCATAAATTTAACGTTATGAACAATGAGATCAATATGTGACCACACTATATTTCGGTCACATTGGTCACATGGTCACAAGGGTAGGTGTTGAAGTAGAAGTAGCATTTTAAGGGTATTTTTGATATAATGCCGCTTCATTCCGTGGGATCCTAAATTTTACTTACTCTGTTTACAACCAGATCCCCATCTATACAATCCTTGTCGAAAGAATCCTCAAAGAAGATCTCTTTTCCCAAAATATCCTTTGAATTTCCTTTTCCATACAAAAAATGAAGCAAGCTTGTTGGTCATCTCATTGCTCTTAAAATTTACACGGTTTCCGGCACATATTTTGCGGTTCATTTCCCTTCATGGCTTAAAAATCCATCTCAGAACAATATGAAACCGTGAAATTCTGCTTTCACTGTCACGTACCACAACATCACCATCCTCTGAGGCATCTCAATCGTTCCGTATGACGATTCTTGTCTGGCGCCTATGGTAACAGAGACAGCATCACCGCCAAGGCAGGGCCGGATTTTTTCAGATCTCTTTCTTTGGATCTTCATTGTTATTCTCATCAATTCCTCTCAAGAGGATGGCTTTGTCATTGATCCCTCGGCCAACTCCCCCTTGCTGGCCACTTTGTCTCTCTGCAAAATACTTTGATCTTCGGTGCTACCCGAATCATCGCCTTCAGTAGCCAGGAATTTCTCTTATGAGTTCCTTCTTGACCAGTCTCGAAGAAACACAACCATCTCTCTCTGATTCTTCGTTCCAATAAAATCTCAAACTATTCCCCACATACCTTTTAAAACCTCAAATCGCTCTGATACCACTGTTGGTTTCAAAATCAGAGAAATCAAATAGAATATGTTGTTGTAAGTCTGTAAGTTTGTCTGAGTTTGTTGTATCTGTAAGTTGAACGAATGTATTTTTTGTTAATTTTTGTTTCATGGCCGGAAAGCATATCATATGTTTTGTTTGAGGTTTCATAGAAACCGACATATTACTCATTCATAAGCCATTCAGAGCCTAAATCACAGCAAAGGCAGACATCTATCATTTTACAATGTTTCTCATCAAGAATATAAAAGTCAAGAAGCAACTCACAACCCATCGATATTAAATCCTAAAGGTGCCAAGCTTTAATAGGCCAAGCAGGATTTATATAAACTATCCCGAGCCTCTAAATTAATCTCAATCTTTAGCAAGCCAATGGACGTCAAGTTACCATTAGTGTGTCAAGACTCAAGACTCGTCCTCTTCTAGAAATTTCTCAGAGAAATCTCAAGATTTAATAAACACACACATCTTGATGGTGGGTACATAAGCCTAGCATCAAGACACTAGTTGCTTCCCACAAATTTTTTGTATTGCCCTCACCTCATTCAATTAGCAAGACCCATGAGATTCCTTTTATGTCTAGGCTTAGTTCTAGATACATTCCCTAGTCATTCTCTACCTCGAGTGGGTAGACTACTACAAAATTCAAGCATAATCCATGTTCTTAACTTCACACTATAGCTTTTTACTAGAAAGTGTACGTCATTTTGAGAGAGAACAACTAAGGCTGACAGTTTTCTGATAAGTACTTCAGGGTAACATTTTCTTGAGTCGTTTATCAATTTGAAACGAATGGAAATTATGTGCTAAGGTTGATCAGGGAAACGCACATTAAAAAGAGAAAGACAAGTCATAGAAAAGATTTAAAAAAAAGTAACTAACCGCATCAGACATGTCGCAGTGGAGCTTGGTTACAGAATCGCCACGGCCAAGTTCTTGAGGAAATCCATACGCAATGTATGTCTTTGGCCCCATGTCTGGCTTCAAGCAAATTTTTGGCAGTTTGACAGCGAGATTTAAAGGTCCCTTATCAGGGTGAGTGTATTGTTTAAACGGCAGACAGCACAAGAACTCCTCACCATGACGTGGCAAGGTTTGATGGAAGGAACTAGACGTAGGCCAGTCCTTCAGTTTCAGGACTTGTGGCCAATTCCTGAAGTTATAACGTCCCACTTTGTAACCATTAAAGAATTCACGTACGTTAATTGATCCCTGCATCCATTAGAAGTCACTAAGAGCCATAAATGAAATATGCCATTATAAAGGGAACTCAATAGTTTTTTCAGGTATTACATAAACAGAAACATGTATAGAAATCAACAATCCAAAAGTTTCCATAACCCTTTGTACATCCCAATATTCTTTCCCTGCCTTTTCTCTCTAAAACTAATAAGCACGTTTTTTTTTAATCTCTACACTAATTCCAAAATAGAACAATTGACATCTATTGTAGAGAAATTTAATACATGCAACAGAATCTTATTAGCGAATAACAAACATACACTAGTAAAAGGGGAAACAAAGAGCATAATGGTCTTCGCTCAAGTCCACAGTAATTTAGGGCATAAAGGCTCAGCGAGAGGACAACTGAAACCACTGCCAGACTGCCAGTAGAAAGCAAAAATGACCCTCTAAATTACTATACCTGAAACCAGCCGAACGGATGTCAAAACATCTATAATAACTTGAACCAAAAGAACAGGAACAGAATTCAGTCAATGTTTCATTGCAATTCATTTTTAAAAGAATAAGCAACATCAACCAGATATGGATAAAGCACAAAAATATAGGAAACAACACTGACCTCACACCAGTCAAGACAGTCAACAGCTGTAACATCTAAAAGTACATCATGCTTGATGTTTTTTATCTGACGGAAGGCACGCCACATGACCTCCGGTTCCCAGCTTAATCCAGAAGTAGTATCAAGCACATTTCTAACAACCACTGGTTCACCTTTTACCCAGTGAAGCTGAAAATGTCTCAAATCATCATGGTGGACATCAGTTGCACTTGGACAATATAGATAATTATCATCTGAAACTTCTCGAGCAGCAGCCTTTAACATGTTTGAGTTGTCTGATTCAATATGACCTTCAGAGTTGAAACAAGGACATCGTTCCATAGAAGACATAGGTGAATCCAAATGTTTGCTAGTTTCAGCAATTTTTTCTGCCCCATTGAGCAATTCAGAAACCCAACCATCAGCAAATATGCATTTTAACTTTAAAACACTAGCACCACAATGACATGAGATGCTTCCATCTGTGTTCGCTTTCCACCCAGATGGGTGCTTCACACCGTCTTTGCTGTTTGCCATCTCAATCTTTTCACCAGATTTATCTGTCTTTTCCATGTCTCCATGTAGATAACCTAAACCTCGATTAACATAATTCCACGCCATCTCTTCCAAGCCTGCCTGAAGCTTTCCATCACGGATCTCCCGGCAACAGGTCAAGCAGAGATCAGATGAACAGTTCAAGCAACTCCTATGTAAATCAAAGATAGAAGTTCTGCAACTGTCGCTGGAAGACCAAAAGGTGTCAAAAGTGAAAGGTTGACACGAGTTACTATTACTAACAATATAATGACATCAAAACATGCAAATCAATTTCTGACAAAATGCCAGGGCAGCTTACCAGTAGATTCTTTCATTTGGCAAACAATCTGCTGTTTCAGGTTTCACCTCTGCAAACTTCAACCCTGTGAGAATTAAACCAGTATTAGAAACCTGTGTTTACTCCTTGAGTTAGCTTCTAAGTTCTAACTTTGAGGAAATCCACTTTTCATTCAGGAACGAATGCCGGTCTACTCACTAAAATCATGACCATGCATATTTACTATCAATATGTTTGTATCTAAAAATTTTGCTGGTTAGCTAACTTTGAAGGGCAATGATTTGGACTTCCAAAGCTTGCATGTTGGCAAGATCACAAGTTTCTAACGGAATGGACTCTGACAGAGTAAGGCTACATTCATAATGGGAATGTCTTCTTTTAATGTAAACTTCAGAAACCAACTTGAAAGAAAACTTATGAAAACTAAAATAAAGAACTCGACTGAAAGAATGTGAAAATACAACAAACACAGTTATTATTATTAACGAACGAAATTTATTAAAGAACGAGAATAACTCTGAACTCTTATCTGCATAATCAAAATCAAGAGAACTACCTGATATCTTAGCCTCAGTTTCCATCTCTGCAACCTGTCCTTCATTTATCTCCTTCAGGTATGGAAGAAGCTTCAGTATAATGTACTTAGAATACTGAATCTTCTCATCCTTACTAACCTCAATGTCAGACTTAAGCCCCTACAGAGTTGTAAAAGCTGTTATGCTGAGAAGCTCATATCAGGGACACCAAAGATAAATCAAAATTTGCTAAATACAAAGAAACATACTTTAATGTTAATATCTAGACGCAAGCATGCTTTGCAATTGCAATTATTACAACAGAAAGGGCATGCTTTAGCAATATCTTCATGTGATGAATGGGGATACCTGTGTCATGGAAAACAAGCAGAAAATAGTTCAGGGAAAAGAATTCACCGTCATATCACCATAATGGAAGTTGAACAAGAACCCATAAGATATAACATCTGTGTTGGTCTGATCAGAATCTTCATTTCGTCAAGCACATTTGAGCAACTAAATCTGAACTTGATATTTAATAGTAATACAGGATGGTGCCTTCACAAATTGCCAAGAAGAATTGATTTATGTAATCATGGCCTAAAAGCCCAAGGTTTGATTTCTTTCAAAGCACATCAGAATGACATTTTTTCAATAAGAAACAACCAACTGAAAGGCCCCAAAATCTCAAAAATACAACTTTCGAAACCACCAACGGGTATGAGCAAGCCATTATCAAGAAACAAAATGTCCAACCATTAAATTAAGCAGAGAAAGTGTACCAAGCCGTTAAGCATGCATAGCAATACCGCTTCACCTTACACTTCTGGCAGCGGACAACCTCTTTTCTATCGCTCCTTTGACATTGATGGCAATTCAATGATACTTCAGCAACATACTATATGCCCAAAACAAACGCATATCAGTGTACCACGTAATCAAAGAAAACGAGGAATTTGACAGAACCACGAACCTGCTTGTCGTGTCTATTGATCTTAATGCGCTCTTTTCCCTTATCCTCCTCAGCTTTGGAACCACGAAGAGGATAAACCTTCTGATCAACATTCCTTAAAGAGTCCCCATCCTCTTCGACCCTCTGCTTCTTCGTATTCTCCTTAACAGCATCATCCAGCTTCTCTTGACCATTCTCAATCCCACCTCCCTCTTTCGCAGCTTCTGCAATAACAATGACGTCTTCACCTTCAATACCACCCCTTTTCTCGTCGCCCCCTTCCATCGGCGATTTCGTTTTCCTTGACCTGCGCTTCTGACCCTTTCGCTTCCTTCTACCTTCGTCGTCGATGTCTTCACCTTCTAGCATAAACAACGCAGCGAAGTTGACTTTCCCGGCACATGTCCTCCGAATCCTTCCCGAAGGCGCGTTTCCATCATCACCATAGTTCCCTTCCGGCACCCCTTTTTCGGCCATCAAGCCCTCCTCCGCAGCAACCGGCCCGTCCTCTGCCACCATTGAAATCGGAATCAAATAACCCTCAAGAAACCCTAGCGGGAATATCTGCCACTATTTGGCAAAAATCCTCTCTAAATTTCAAGGGTTTCCTTCCGTTTCCCCGCGCTTTTAAGCAAATTCAACGCGAGACAAAAACTGCTCTGAAAAAACCTGAGCGCCTTTGCCTTTGATAATATATCAATTTTATACCTATTTATAACATAAGATCTTATCAAATTTCCATACAGGGAAGATGGTTACCAGTTCAAAAAAACGTGACGTGACGCTGACGCATCGTTACGCTAACGATACCGTCACCCTATGACCACGTCACTCAATTATTTCAGGATTAATTACGGAAATAAAAAACCGAAATCGGTTTAATTTGCAAACCGATCAATTAAAAACCCAAACGTGTCTCTCTCCACTAACCCAAAATCCCTCACGTCGTTCTTCGACATTATCCATCTAGCAGACCAATCCGAGCTCCTTCCTCACACGTGATCCGATTATAATTTTTTAAAAATCGAATCGTAATCGAAAAACGAAAATTTTTAAAAATAATTTTTTTAACACAAAAATCAACCAAATTATATAAAAATCGAAAATTTATAATCTTTTTAAAACCATGTTAACCGAACAATTGAAACCTGAAATTCGATGGACCGGCTCAATCGCCACCTTCGACCGCAACACGACGGAATCTGCTTCGCCGGCGTTGCCTCTTCGTCTTGGCTTCTCCGTCAGCTTCCGGCAAGACCAGGTTCGTGGATTTAGGGTTTGTCGATTCGATTTGGGAATTTTGGCGCTTTTAGGGTTCTTCGATTTCGTGGGTACCCAAATTCGTGGTTTTTCTTTTACGGGTATGTAAAACTGACGCCCTGTTATGCAGATTCTGTGATTTGAATCTCATCCTTGACACGGAAAAAACGATTCCTCGATCCAAAATCTGAATATTTTGTTTGATGAAATATTTTCTTCAGGATTATGGATCTACACTAACTCCATATATAACCCGGCGAAAATAGATTCTATATGTCAATCGGACCGGCCCAACCCGGTCCAAACCTGCACTCGGTCCGAAAATTTTGGGTTTGGACCGACCGGATTTTTTAGGATCTATATATCCAAACCTGAAATCCAACCATATAGATTTTGGGCTCGAACCCACTCAATAAACTTATTTTTTCTTTTTTTATTTAAAAATATTTATATATTGGATCGATCCGAATCAGGTCCAAATTTTGATTTTTTTAGGATTGAAAATCCTAAATCTAAAACCGTTATTTTTCAAAATTTTCTTCAGAAAATAAAATAACTGGCTTACATTATTTTATACGTTTAAAAAATTCATGGTTCAAAAATGAAAACTTTACTCAACAAGTGAGATTATCTCCCGGCGCTACACCAAACTGGCTGCAATACCGAGTATAGTACCCAACCCTCGACTGGACGGTGGCCGTGTTTGCACCGTCGCACTCCAACGCTCCGTTAATGGCACGGATGGTGGCGCCGAAACCTTGCGAGACAACGGGCTGAACCCTATTGTTCCAGTACCAAAGGGCGGTTTTGAAGGAGAGGACGGGGTCCGTGGCCACGGTTTCAGGTGCGTTAAGGCCGTCGAATCCGAGGGAATTTCCGGCTGGTCCGTAGTTGTAGTTCCACGAGAGTTGGATCGGTCCGCGGCCGTGGTAGCCCTTGCTCGGATTACATGGATATTGTGTTGAAGTCTCGTCGCAATAGTCCTTGGAAGGTCCGTCTATTTCTTCTACGTAGCAGAAATCTAAAACAAAAGGAGATTAAAAGAAATTTTAATTTCCGCACGTAAATGATACGTTAAAATTCGAACGAGTGGTACTTACGTCCGGTCTCATGCGTGACGTGAGCAAAGAACGCGGCGATCTCGCGCCTGGAATCATCGCTAGATCCAATCCGGCCGAACCGAGGATACAATCTGAGCGCCTCGAGGAACGCTCCTCGGCTGTAAAACCTCTTCCCCTCGCAGCTAGACGCGGCCTGATCGATGATTCCGTCGAAGAAACCAGGGGTGACGATATCGGCCACGACAGCGTCGTTAGTAGGCGGAGGGGCAAGGCACGGTCCTTCTTGGCAACCCGCACCGCAGTATTCAACAGTTTGGCCGCAGTATCCGTACTGGCTGCAGCAAAAGCCGCGTTCACAGCCGCAGTTTTGAGCGTTTGCGTCGTATACGGCTGCATGTATTGCTAGTAGAATGATTATCGTAGCTACGTGCTTTGACATGTTGTGAGTCGACGTTTTTGGGTATTATGGCTGCAAATATGCGATGTGGGTGAAGGAATACGCACATATATAAATATATATATACATATGCGTGTGTATATATATATGAATGTATGTATGAAGCAGGAAAAGTATTAATTGGGACGACTTAGAAAAGTCGTTCTTTGTAGAGATTTAAGCATTGCTGCGCCGAATGTTGACTTTGACTCGATGAACGGTATGTTAGTTCAGAATTGAAGAAAAAATTTGGTCCCCGACTTGGAAAATTTTCGTTTTTTGTTTTTCGTTTTAAATTATATATTACTCTTAAAAAAATAAAATAAAAATTTTCACTCCGCATCATCATGATGTATTTATAATACAAATACCATTTGTACAAAATATGAAAAATAAAAGAAAAGAAAAGAGAATTATAATTTTGAATGTAAAAATGTTGAAATTGTGAATAAGAACCGAAAGAGGGAAAATATATATTTTTTTTTTTAAAGCGACGGGAAAATCATTATTAAGTTATTGGAAACAGAAATCGTGAGAAAGTATAATTTGGACTTTTGAATAAGAAAAAATAAAAGAAAGAAAATAACTTTTTAGTGAGAAAATAGATTATTGGAAACGTGAAAAGATAGACATCAAAATAAAAAGAAAGGGAAAATCTATATAAAAAAAACACTCAATTTTCAAATTTTGACAAAAAAAATATTGAATTTTTTTATTTTATTAAATAAATATTAAACTTTTTAAGTTTGATAAAACAAAAATTTAACTATTCTACAATAGTCAAAATAAACAAAATAACTAGAGATGTAAACACGTCAAATTATTTTACTTAGTTTTTTTTTATAATCATAGAAAATTCATATTTTTTTTGGATCACTAAAAAACCTTCAATGTTTTTTTATAATCGCACAAATAAAATTATAAATTTTTGAGAATATTTAAAAAGTTCAATATATTTTAAATATATTTAAACAGTTTAATATTTATTTGATAAAAGAAAAAGTTTAATATTTTTTTGTCAAAATTGAAAAATTAAATTTTTTTTTGTAAAAGAAAATAAGAGGAGGTCAGACTATATAACATTGAAGTAGAAACCAACAAAAAGTCAAGCAATAGGAAAAATACAAGTTTAAATATGAAATTATTAGACAATTTAGTTAAATAATCTCAAAATAAGTATTTCAAAATTCATTAGAAACTACACCTTAAGGTCAAAACTCGATTTGATTCGATCAGATTTCATTTGTGAACGCACACTTTAAAGTCGAATTAAAATTAAAACCAATAAAAATACTCATTCATCTCCAAATTCCAATTTTAAATCTGGAATTTTACTAGGATCTTTGCTTCTATTCTTTCTTGTTTTTTTAAAAAAAAATCATGGTACCATGATAATATATATTGAAAATTATTCACTACTATAATATTTGTATATAAAACTAAAATCTCAAGATATATTATTAAATTAATATAAATATTTAAATAAATATAATTTAATAGTATAATAATAATTTAAAATATTGTATGCATTTATTGATAATTTTATAAGATATTTTATAATCTGTTTATAATCTTATCAAGCCTTCACTATACATTCCATAACAAGCAAACAAAACATAACATAACGTGTCATGTGATGTCAGTTGCAACTCACTCCTCACGTGATGCTTTTGACTTTTTATTTGCAGTAATTATCACTTCCTCGATCTCTTTGTCTGATTTTCGTCTTTCTTTTGTTTGCAAAATGGCTGAATAAACTCGCGTTCTCTAATAGTATAGAAATGTAAACCAATCAATCCTACTCTTGAGGAGAGACAGGTTAAAAGATTCGAAACCCTAATTTTGAGGTTAAAAACTCTAATAGTGACAATTCACCTCAGATTTTCTATCAACCTTAAATTGGATTTATATAATGATTTCTTATTGATTCCTATCAAATTTGAAAACATTTATTTCACCAAAAAAAATTGAAAACATATCTTTTCTTTTTGGCAATTAATTTTCTGTTCACGGTTTGCTTTTGTATTATTAAAAAAAACCAGACATTATATCAAAAATATCTTCTATTTGCTATTTTGATTTCAATACATACATTTCTCCAACTGTGACTGTGACTCTGTGACCTATGTGATCCGAAATATAATTTTGGTCACATTGGTCAACCACATTAAATGTTTCATATTTTTATCAAATGATTAGTGAGATATATAAGGGATGAATATAATGAATGAGTGTGGTCATCATAAATTTAACGTTATGATCAATGTGACCAAAATTATATTTCGGATCACATAGATCATAGGATCACAGTTGAAGAAGGGTATGCCTTGAAATCAAAATAGCAAATAGAAGGTATTTTTGATAATGCCCTGTTAACCATGCCTTACCTATGTATTTTTTTTATAAAAAAAACATGTAGAGGAAGCATCTAATCATAAGGATCGGACAAAAGAAATTAGAGTGGACCCAAACCCTTCAAAAACACAATGGGAAATAAATGGAAGACAGTCTGTTTCCATAACAAAAAATCATCCACTTTGTGTATATAATCTTCAAGGCCACACTCTCACTCGCCATTGCTTCACTCTCTACCCTTTATATAAACACACTCATACTTCACTATAAGCCCAGCCCTCGATCAAGAAAAAAAAAACACATGAAAACCATGAGAAGAACCCATTTACTCTTGCTCATAATCCCTCTCTTAATCTCCACATCTCGAACCCTAAATTGCCATGACGACGATTATGAGCACCAATCCCATTCCTCTAACCTAAAGATCTTCCACGTTTTCAGCCCATGTTCACCGTATCGGCCCTCGAGGCCGCCACTGTCTTGGGAGAACGCTCTCCTCCGAATCCAGGACGAGGACAAGGCGCGTCTCCTGTACCTGTCCAGCCTGGCCGTGGCCGGAAAATCCGTCGTCCCCATAGCCTCCGGCCGGCAGATCATCCAGACCCCGACCTACATTGTCCGGGCGAACGTCGGTCCCCCGCCCCAGCCGATGCTCGTGGCTTTGGACATCGGCAACGACGTCTCCTGGCTGCCTTGCGCCGGCTGCGTCGGATGTTCTTCCTCCGTGACGTTCGACTCTTCCATGTCCACTTCGTTCCGGTCGGTCGACTGCCAAGCTCCCCAGTGTAGACAGGTACGCGCGTTTGGTTTCACGCGCCGTTTGTAGCGCGTGGGGTTGCTATGCCTCGGTTTTGGATTCTAGCCCGTGTGTGGGAGATTGCATATCGGTGTTATATGATTGACTCCTAGAAGGAAGTGCAGTATATTTTTGGCGTTATTGCACGTTGCTGGATAAGGTCTATAGTCACGAGATCAAACAATTTGGATTTTGAATAGTTAGATGGGTCCAAAATCTTTTATTTTTGTGTATTTAGGAAACATTCGGATAAGAAAATTATCAATGTATATATTATATCCCACCAAATATATTGATTTAATGCTTAGATAATGTCACAGAACTGCTAAATTAAAACAAACTTAGCCATTGTAGATACTTTTAAATAAAATGTTTTTATTATTAAAATAAGGGTTTTACGAAGCATTGAATTTAGAATTTATTTTTATTAGATGGAGATCGCCCTTTATTTTACTAAAAAAACAAATGAAAAATGAGAAGTGGAAAGAATCATGCCATTACAACATTTAATCAAATCATATCGCGTTTTTAACCGTATTGTTTTTTTTTTTTGGTAAAGAAACCGTTTTGTATTTACCTGCATATAACATATCAGTAAATCAAATCATCGTTAAGAAAAACAAAATTTAAAATTTCTTACAAAAAATAAACAAAATAAGTGTTTTCAAAATATCAATAATGTCGCAGGATCCAAGAAAATCACCTTTACAGTGCACCTTTTTCATATTGGGCATGGATCACACCCCATTAATTCTGCCCGTGAAGTTTGCATTACAACCCCCAAACCCCACTTGCAAAAAAAAACAAACTTTCGATAAAGATTTTTTTCTTTATCCAATTTGATTGAATTAAGTTCGGATAGTGGAAATTTGTACCGGATTGTCAAATGTTTGCCAAATGGATTTGGATTCGGTTTGGATAGTGAAAAGTTATACCAAATTTAGTCGGTTTAGTTCGGTTTGAGAGCGTATACAATTTGCAGGCCCCGAACCCATCATGCAACGGCGGCGGCGCGTGCGAATTCAACATGACGTACGGCGGTTCCGCCATTAACGCGAACCTCTCACAAGACACGGTAACATTGTCAAAGGACCCGATCCCAAACTACACATTCGGGTGCATCGGAAAAGCCCCCGGAACCTCTCTGCCGCCGCAAGGGCTCCTCGGCTTCGGCCGTGGCCCGTTGTCTCTAATGTCGCAGACCCAAGACCTGTACAAAGCCACGTTTTCGTATTGTCTGCCTAATTTTAGGTCGGAAAACTTCTCCGGGTCGTTGAGATTGGGGCCGGTGGGTCAGCCGGTGAGGATAAAGACCACTCCCTTGCTGAAGAACCCTAAAAGGTCGTCGCTTTATTATGTGAATCTGGTCGGGATTCGTGTCGGGAGTAAGGTTCTTGATATTCCTGCCAGTGCTTTTGCTTTCGATCCGGTCACCGGCGCCGGCACCGTCTTTGATTCAGGTAATACTCTGCCTCCTTGGGCTGTTTTCTTCCGTGGCAAAATAGAAATTATAATTTTTAATGATTTTTTCTCAACAAATCAAATTAATGTTTTTAATAGTAACTTTGAAAGTGTAAATTTGTCTATATCTAATTATGATAGTTTTGTATTTTTTTTATGAAATAATGTAGTTGTCTGTAAATATAGTTTAGGGTTTTTCTTTCTTTCGTGATGACGATCCTTTCGTCACGTTACAGGGACCGTGTTCACCCGGCTGGTCGAACCAGCGTACGTAGCGGTGCGGAACGAGTTCAGGCGCCGAAACAAGAACTCGAACGTCACGTCGCTAGGCGGGTTCGACACATGTTACTCCGGCCCTATCGTCGCACCCACGATCACGTTCATGTTCGCGGGGATGAACGTGACGCTGCCTCAGGACAACTTCCTGATCCGCAGCACGGCCGGCTCCACCACCTGTCTGGCCATGGCGGCGGCCCCTAACAACGTTAACTCCGTCCTCAACGTCATCGCCAGTATGCAGCAGCAGAACCACCGCGTTCTCGTCGATGGCTCCAACAACAGGCTCGGCGTCGCTCGTGAACTCTGCACCTGAAAAATCAAAAGTTTGATGAAATATCTTTAAATAAATCGAGCTTTCAAGATTAGACGAATGTATTCTTGTATTTGTCTGTGTTATCGTACAGTATATGAAGAGGGTTAAATATCTCTCTTAACTTTGTTAAAATGCATCCTCTTCATGTTATAGACCGTCATCGAATTTTCTTGTGACGAATTTTATAAAATAATATTAAAATAATGGACTCTGGATATTTGTGGAAATCCATTTTGATATTTATAGACAGATTAGTGAAATTTAGTTATTTTATATTAGTATATAAAAAAAATTGTTATTTTGAATTCAAAACTCAAAATTTTAAAAAAGGAAAAAATAGCTCGAAACTAGGGGTAGGCGTTTCGGGAAACGGTTCAGGTTCGGGACGGAATAGATCGGTTCGGTTCTTTCGGTTTTATAAAAATAGGTACCAATCGGGTTTTTTATTGTATTCGGTTCGGTTCGGTTTCGGTATCGGTCCGGTCCGGTTCCGGGTTTTATTAAAAAAATGATAGATTTTTTTTTAAAAATATTCGGTTTTTCGGGATTTTTAAAGTTCGGTTTGGTTCGGTTCGGTTCTGGGAAAATTCGGTTCTCTAAAAATTGGTACCGTTCGGGAAATAACAGCGGTTTCGTGTCGGAAAAAATACCGTTTTAACGGTTCGGTTCGGTCCGGTTTCGAATAACCGAACCGAAAGACCCAGCCCTACTCGAGGGGTAAACTTCACAAATACCCTTTCGTGTCGCATGAATTTCTCGCCTACCCCACCAAAAAAAAAAAATTTGCGACTTTATTACGACTATATGTAACTGATATACAACTAAACTAAAATAAGAGTAGTTTTTTGGTATATCTGTTGTATATTAGTTATATATCAGTTCGCAATTTTTTTTTTTTTTTTTTTTCTGGGGTAGGCTAGAAATTCATGGGACACGAAAAGTGTATTTGTGAAGTTTAGGGGTAACAGGGAAAGCGGAAATCACTGCAGAGAGGAAGTGCTCAGAAGTTTGGCGAAGAACCAAGCAGTGAACCAATGGCTACCGGCGGCGGAAACGCCATAGCGACAGCTCCGGTATCCGGCGGAGGTGGAGGAAACGCGGAATGGCACGTCCGGCCACCAAACCCTAAAAGCCCTGTTGTGTTCTTCGATGTCTCCATCGGTGGCATTCCCGCCGGTCGGATCAAGATGGAGCTCTTCGCCGATATTACTCCGAAGACTGCTGAGAACTTCAGGTCCTGTCTTAGTACTCACCTTATAATTCTCTCTCTGTCGCTCTGCTGATTCGAATTATCTCGTTTCCTTGGATTTTTTCCAGGCAGTTCTGCACTGGAGAATACAGGTATGGATATTTTCTTCTGGATTTTATACCTTGTACTTTTGATAGATTCTCGACCTTAGTTGTTGCCTCTTAGTTGCAGAAGGGCTTATACGAATCTGGAATCTTGTCTGGGGTTTCTTTTGCATTTTAGATCCGAGGTGTTACATTCATGTAATTCTTCGAATTTACGGCATTTCCGTGATGATGCATCTAAATATTAATTGGGATTCATCTTTCCAACATGTAGATTGTTTCTTCGTTCGGGTTGCTCGTGTTTCATTCTACAGTATGAAATCAAGGGTCGTTTTCTATAAGTTTAGTTGTTAACATTGTCAGAGTTTAATGCTTCTGAATGATTGAAGAATACTTTCGATGCAGAACTTGCTTGTTGTTAGACTTGTGTGCCTGCCCCATGATTCTGCATGTTTATGTGTTGTGTTAGCAAATCTAGTCATGTAGTTTGGTAGAATTCTTGGGAGAGTGAAGAAAACTTCTACATCTTTTAGCAAAGTACCGGTTTTCTTTTGATCGTTTTGATCAATTCTGGTGCAATTGCAGAAAGGCTGGGAAGCCTCTTGGTTACAAAGAGTGTCAGTTTCATAGGGTCATCAAGGATTTTATGATTCAAGGTGGTGATTTTATTAAGGTCGGTGCTTGATACACATGATAAGGCCGTGCCTCTTGTTTATACTATACAAATTAGGTTAGCCTCTCTATTTCACTTGTTATCAAATCTCTTACTGTTCCATGTATCTTAGATTCTGCAGAATGACGGCAGTGGATGTATGTCCATTTATGGCCACAAGTACGACGATGAAAACTTTGTTGCCAAACATATTGGGTCAGGACTGCTCTCAAATGGTATGCATTGGCATCTTTATTAACCTTGAATATGTTTTATGCGGTCTAATAGGTACTGGTATATTGCCTTTCGAGGCGTTAAAATGGTTAAAGCTGATGAATTCTTGTTATTTTACATAAACCAAACACTTACAAAACACAAAACACAACAGAGACATAAACAAATTTGAAACATAAACATTTATTCTCCCACATTCATACAACACAAACTTACGCACACATATATATGATTGCAGAGAACACAATCTGCAATATTGTTTACAACATTCAATACTTGCTTATATAGACCCAATATAATAACCGATACAGTTACAAATTTTAAAATTTTTACAACTTCCAATAACTGCAGAAAATTGCTCTTGAGTCATGTAACCAACAATTCTCTTCTTGGTTTGCTTTTGTATGGGTTTGTTTTTCTTCGTGGCACTAATGTTTTAGTTCTACAGCTACATTTCATATGATGCGCATGATTTTGATCTTTAAATATATGTTTCCTTCGATTATCGCAGGCAAACAGTGGGCCAAACACAAATGGGTGCCAGGTAATATCAGTCCCCCACTATGACGTCCTTGTTTGGTTGTTCAGTTTTATATATCTGAGAAATGATCTAGACCAATGGAGCATATTCCTTCTGTAACAGAGTAGAATCCATGAAAACTTGTTCAAGAGCTTCTGAAAGTAACTTGTTTACAAGCTGATTGAGCGCTCACTTCTCTTATCTTTTTTACTTGTGAGACTTTTTGAGTATGATGGCGAACTTTCCCCCGACAAGTTTATACATTGCAGTTCTTCATTACCTGTTTCAAAATGCGACTGGCTTGACAATAAGCATGTTGTCTTCGGGGTATGCTCCTTTTATCTATATACATCCTGAGTTTTGTTTCTCCCTTTACTCTTTTATCATGGAATAATTTTCTATAGCATGAACAAGGTGGAGTGTCACTATTAGTATACTATTTTGCTATGAACCGAATTATCCTACAAAATGTTTCAATAGTATATAAATCTTGTCTATGGATTTAGTGCCGTGGTTGGGTTGGTCCACGATTAGAAAACATAATGAACCAAACCGTGCATAACCGGTTCGGCACATTACACATACTCATATTTTACGGTAGTGACAGGAAACCGCAGTAGGACGGTTGCTTTTCTATTCTGTGTGCGTCCTTGAGGAAAGTATTGCGGATTTGACTACCCATCATTTGTGTTAAGCCGACAGAAAATTCCTACGTTGTTATCTCTAGTTCAGATAGAGGCATTATGTAATCGTCATGCACATAACCAGTTCTTCCGAGTTCATTATTCTCTGTTGCTACTACTTTTTACGTTTTCATTTCTTCGGATACAGAGAGTTCTAGGGGACGGTCTACTGGTGGTGATGAAGATTGAGAATGTGGCCACAGGACCCAACAACCGGCCTAAGCTCGCTTGTGTAATCACCGAGTGCGGTGAGATGTGAAAAATGGTAAGCAAGTAATCAACTTATTAAAGCCGATATTTTTCGCCAAAGCTTTCTTAGAAGTTTTTCAGATGTTTCTAGTGAAGGAGGGGCTTGTAGAGCTATATAATACACGTGCATTTGACAAGCTAAATCTAGATATATGGGTTTCACAACAAAGATGTGGACTCTGACAGTAATTGTTTAGGACACATTACAGGTTATGGCGATTTAAGGGTTTCTTCCAATCCATCAACACTTGTGATTCCAACCTTTTTTTTTTTTTGATATAATGTGTTTTGTATTACTCAAAATTGGGGTACATAGTACAAGATCCAAATCCACATTAAAAGCTTTCGCTAAAAACCCTGTGACAGGAATAAATTTTACAGCAATTTCATCCTTCGTCTAATATCTCTCGCGTAGTCGTAAGTGAATACCAATCCTGAAGCAGAGTGTTGCTTCGGTTTTCTCGAGCCTGTTGTAGTGACAGGAGGGTAGTTCGGATTGATCGATCGATACGCACCATCAGAGGTTGTACAGCCGTCGAAGTGCTGGAGAATATACGTGAGTTTCGCTCTTTCCAAATCTCGTAGATGACGTGTTGAATGAGGCACTGCATTAGTATCTTTCGGTTCCTGCCATCAGATTGGAGAACTCCATTCAACCAAGAGTTACATATGACTAGGTCACCTGGTGGGTTGCTCCAAATCTTTCTCGCCATTCCCTGCCAGATCTCCGCACTGTAAGGGCACCGGAAAAAGAGATGGGCATGTGATTCTTCTTCTTCGGCACAGAGGACACATGTTGAGTCTTGTATTGCATTCCAACACCGCAGTCGATCCCGTGTTGGCAGCCTTCCTTGCATAACCATCCAATGTACAAATGCATAACGTGGTATCGCTTGTTTAAACCATACCATTCGCGCCCAAGGCACTTGAGGTGTTGTTTCACGCAGTAACTTCCATGTCGCTGCTGCTGAGAATTGACGTGAGTACACATTTTCTGCCACTTTCCATTCATACTTGTCATCTTCCGCGGTCTGATCAGGTACCGAGATTGAAAGCAAGTGTATATGCAGTTCTTGAATCCTTTGGGACCGAGCCCCAGGAAGGAACCAATTTCCCCCTGATGTTGCTGCACTTACTTTGCCGGTAATGGGAATTCTGAGTAGTCTAGGCCCATTGTTTCCAATATATTCAAGCAGAGGTCCGAAGGTAGTCCAACTATCATGCCAAAAGGACGGTCGTGTTTCCATTCCCGATCCGACATCTGATATATTGTGTGGCTAGCTCTTTCAACTTCAATAACTTCCGGAAATTCCACGACATTCTAGGGGTAGGTGTTGTGTTCCAAAAGGATCCTCTCTTTAATACATTTTTCTTGACCCAAGCCACCCAAAGTGAGCTAGCATCTTTAAAGAGACTCCAACTGTTTGAGGAGATATTTAGGAAGTAGGAAAACTTGGCTCCAACTGTTTACCATGCCATATATCACTGTTGCGACCAATTGGATCTTCCCTGCATAAGATAGTACCTTGCTTGACCAACTGCTCACTTTGTTTCTAACTCTCTCCATCAAGGG